TTTCCACGATACCACTTTAAAAAGTAAGAGCAGGTCCTCGCCACCAGCCATGTTCACTTCGACCAATTCCTGCTGGAACTTTTGAACACTCCAATAGCGTCCTTGCTCCTGGTAGCAATGCCCTTCGTTACTAGTAGCGATGCCAGGAGCTACTAGTAGCTTCTTGCTATTAATCGCGATGCCCTTGTTACTAGTGAAATTGGTGATTGGTGCGACCTTCAATGTTACAACATCCCGCACCTGTCATGTCATTCAATGAGGTTGTTGCATGGTTCATATCTCTTGGGAGTACGTACCCGCTCAAAGCATGCAAAAGGTGGAAAATGGTCAAAGGTCTGGTCTGGTCGAATGACAGCGGCATGGCCACCATCTCTTTTGCACCTGAGGAGCCTCGATGGTCAACGGGAGGACGAAGGGCACAGCAACGACCTGACGTGCCAGTTGGGACGAAGCTCAATCTTTCTTGCTCCTAGTAGCGATGCCCTTTGTTACTGTACTAGTAGCGTCCGTGCTCCTAGTAGTAAGGCCAGGAGCCGCTAGTAGCTTCTTGTTCCTAGTAGCGATGCCAGGAGCCCCTAGTAGCGTCCTTGCTCCTTTGATGCAAAGAATGCCACAAGCCAATTCTCCATAGATGACACAAGTGCTTCGACCACTTCATCTGTGACGCCAAGTTGCAGCGTCGCCCAAACCTGGCACCCGCACTCGGGCCTGGAAGGTTGCGATGTTGATCCAATGTCTCTGGGTTCAAAAGTTCTTTCTCTCGTCTTTCTTGTAGAGTGCTAGTCATCTCGCACTGTAGCAACATGACTTTTGGGACATGTTCAACTTATATCAAGATACACATATAATATGCGTTTATCCTAGTTTTCCATGGATCTGGGCCCAACGTGCTCGACACTGGCATTTTGGTATGACAGGTTCACCTTCCATAAAACAACTACCCATGACTCTGTCCCTACCTCATAGGCACCAGCTGAGAGAGCAGGAATTCGACAGCTCACTTCAGCATCTTGCCATTGAATCCTCAGCCGATATAAAAACCTACATGTTTGGTCTACCGGTTTGCACCCTTAAAAGGTTTGGGCAATGGAGAACGAGAGCTTGCAGAAAAGCGCTGAGCTTGATGATGGCCAGTGTCTTGTGTAAAACCCGGACATCTCAAAATGTAGCCCACACAAAAACATAGGGTCCATTGCCAAGCAGCACGTCACATTCCATCTCGCTGTTGGAGGAGGCCTGAAGTCAACAAAGCATGATACAAGGTGATTTCAGAAACAAAGCAGGGCAGCTTGGGCCCCCTTTGAAAGGTGGCTTTACCATCCTTTTTGTCGAAGTTTGTAGATATGTCAAATACATCAAAGACATGATCTCCATCTGGCTTTGTGCGGCAGTAAGTACGAGCTCCCAGTAGGTTGGAGGCCATTACTACTAATAGTCCCAAAGCATTCGTGACGTCGCCGAGTTACACTCCCGGGCTCCAGCAGCAGCACAATGCCCTCCTGAGCACCGAAGTCTTGGCCAGTAATCACCTCGCTGGAGCGAAACAAAGAAGTGACAGTTCCTTCAGAAGTGAAGCGGCCAAAAGCAAGGTGTTAAGAGTCTTAAGGCTTTAAGGTGTCAACCAGGATTCTCTCGCAATCTTAGAGTTCCCAAACCTGCATGCTGTCTTTCTTCCTTTCTGGACGCTAGCCGCTTGCGCCCAAGAGTGCTGCACTCAATGCTGACCCTGGAGTCTGAGTGCCCGAGCCACCACTGTCCCTGCAAATCCCTGGTTGGGAACCATGCTCAAGGCCTGCAGGAAGCTACTAGGGGCTCCTGGCCTTACTGCTAGGAGCAAGAAGCTACTAGTAACAAAGGGCATCGCTACTAGGAGCAAGGAAGCTACTAGTAGCTCCTGCAGAATTACTTCACCGCTTCGCCTGACCCTGACCCGCTGACGGCTGTTGATCACTGCTGACTGCTCACCTGTGGAGCCTTGTACGGCCTTGCACCACTGCTGATCCGGTCTCTCCATGTTGAGAATATGATCCTAGTTTAGTCACCTAGGAGCAAGGACGCTACTAGGAGCAAGTCACCTAGGTCAAAAAATACCTTCAAAAAAAATGTCCGGTCTCAGTGGTTTCTGTCCGTTCCGACCGAAGAGCCGCTTCAGCCCCAACCATGCTCGCCTTTGGTCCCATTGCTTCAACCAAGAAGACCATCGCCTGGTTGGTTGGACGGATCATGAAACAAGGTGTCCCTTCCTTCAAAAAGGACCGTGCGATTCAGCTGACCACGAATCCGAATAGGAATGAAGACAACTGACCACGGACATGAATACTCAATGTTCAGAATAGACACCGTGAATGACTGAAAAGGAATCGTGGCAATTTGGATTTGGCAACGTTGCCGTTCATGCCAAAAAAAAAGCTGGAATATGGGGTTGGCATCACAGAAAATCACCTTCTGAAGCTTACATAGACACACACACACACACACACACACGCAACACAAGCCAACGAACATCAATATCGCAAAATAGTAAGTAGGGATTCGATCAACTAGACAAGAGATGAACTCTCTGCAGGACCAGGTCCGTGTCCCCAAAAACACATCCATTAAGTTCAAAACACTAGAGGTACAAACCAAGTCTCCAGCAACTCTTCATGCAAAAGTACCCTTGTTGAGAGGTTTAAGCCTCTGGCACTGCTCCGACTGCTCCCCTAGTATCTCCTGCTATCTCGCTTTTGTTGTGTGAAGATCAGCCCCAAGACCAAAAGAAACACATGGACACTCATGACTTAGTTCAGTGACGTTGGGATCCAACGACGTTGTGGTGGTTGAGGTTGTACTGGTTGTACCTTCCCAGGCTGCGACAATTCAGGCCAGTCTGGCGATGTCACAGTTCATGACCAGCACATGTTGAACTGAAATTCTTTCATTTTTCGATGTTTTTCTTCCATACAAATTCATATTCCGATGTTTCTGCGGCAAAATGACAATTCACAATCCAAACCAAGATGTGGAAGACAAAGAGAAACACAAACATCTTTACGTCATGAGACCTTGAGTGACCATGGGTTGGAGGCCATCGCTTCTAGGTTGGAGGCCATTGCTATGAGAAACAGAGAACAAAGAAAAGGAAGCAAGGTCTAGTAGCTTCTTGATACTAGTAGCGGTGCCCTTGTTACTAGTAGCTTCTAGCTACCGAAAGGTTGGAGGCCATGTGTCAATTTCACCTGAACCGCCGGAACGGCCCGCGGCACTGGTGATGGAGCTGGTAGTGGTGGAGCTCATCGTCACTGTGCTGCTGGTCATGGTGGAGCTAGTGGCCTTGACCACGAAGCAAACCAAAAGTACATGTGAACTATTGTGAACTGATGAAAAGTTAAAGGAAAAAAGAAGGTCGAAAGGAGTCCAAAGGTCTAGAGTCTAAACATCCAAAGACAACACATGAGTGAACAAATGAAAAAGACACGAGCCTCAAGAGCTAGTCAAGTTCCTGTGGAGCCAACACGTGTCTTTTTGCATACAGCCCTTCGTACCGCTTCGCACTGTATTGGCTAACTCGTTCCAGTGGCAGTTGAACTGGATGATGTGAATGTCGTTGAAGTAGTTGCTGTCTCAGACCTTGGGAAGGGCATCGGGGCATCGGCAAGTCTGTTCGTGACTTTGGGTCTCACTTCGCATCATGCCGCGTAGGGGCACAGGGCATTCAAACAGAAAAGGTTCAACCTTAATTGTTCCTAGTAGCGAACATTGTTTGTAATAGCTTCTTTGTTACTACTAGTAAGGCACTTGTTACTAGTAGCGATGCACTTGTTCCTAGTACAACCTTAATTGCTATGTCCACGTTCAAACACAGTTCATTCTTGATTCAAGAGATACTCGCTGCTACGTGGCTGAGGAAACATGCAAAATGTGGCGGAACTGACTTGACAAGTCCAGGTGCTCTATGTGGGTGATGGTCAAAGAAGGAAAACAGCTAAAACAGCACGGTGATGCCTGCCCAGCCGACGCAGCCTAAATTAATCTGCAAGCGGCACAACGGTAGAAGTCGATGTGACGATAGTAGCGGTGCTGGTGGTCCTTGCACTTTAACCATGGACAGTAACAAGAGAGAGCAATCTATACAATCTACGGCGGAGAGCCATCCTCATTGCGATGAAACACCCTCAATTGCATATTGCAGTAATTGCAGTATCTAAGCAGTATCATCCAATTTACACTGCTTCTATGCTCACTTGTTGGAGGCCATCGCTAGTAGGTTGGAGCCATTCCTATTAGGTTGGAGGCCATTGACATCCCAGTGTCCTCGTGCTTGACTCCGCTGAGGATGATGTAGATGTACTTGTGGTACTGGTCTGCGAAGTGCTTGTTGTGCTTACACTGGTTGTTGTTGTGCTTGAAGTTGAGGTCAATGTTGACCGCGTTGAAGTTGAAGATGTCGTTTTGGTGATGGTTGTGCCTGCAACGCATAACAAGACATGATGGTTTGTCGTTTGGTTTCGTGATATTTAAGGTTTGCGGGCATGTCTGAAACTATATGTGTTCACAGGTTTCCCATGGCTGGAACACTTTTGCCAAGGAAGTACTTGCTCCAGCTGAAGATAATCTGCTCAACACATTATGACACTTAATGCCAAAATGCTGGTCGTGGCGGTAGAAGTGACCGTGGATGATATTGTGCTGGTGGCAGTTACCTGCGCATCGGATCACTGTCTAAATGAGCACGACGGCAAGGACCCAAAGCAACATGACACAACTTTGTCACAGTTGCCACAACATGCTTTCTTCAGTCAACATGGCATTTTATCACCTTCCGTTTTTTGTCCCTTTGATTCAAACAGCTTTGAGATGCTTTATGGCCAAGAAGCTGAGGAGGTGGTGACAGCTTTGGTCGAAAAA